AACACATACATTCACCAACTGGCTTTATGCCTAAGGAGGGACTAGAATTCATGGTCTCCCATTTTTTAACCACTACACCAAACTGGCTCTCAAATATTAATATAATATATTATTAAAGGCAAAGATTTTCCCTGTCCAATTGTAGGGGGTAATGTTCATCTCTGTTTCTTAGCCAAGGGAGCCAGCATTATCCAAAGACATTTCTGTGGTCATGTGGCCAGCATGGCGCTTGGATCTTGAACCCGGGCTCTCAGCTTTCCAGATGACAAGTTCAGCATCTTTAACTGCTGAGCCACTGTGCCCCAATATATTCTTATGTACGTGCAAATACATAACTTACGTCTTTACATATACAAATGCATCTACAAATACCATCCGCCATGCAACCGAGAACCAGATCGGGTGTGCTGATAACTAGATAGCTATAAAGTTGTTCAAACTTCATTTGCTCAGTGAAAATATTGTGTAAAATCGTGGCTTAGGTGCTTTCCAGATGGATTAGGGCAGTGGTTTTCAAAGTTCTCGGAGCTGAAGTCCACACATCTTAAAAGTTGCCACGTTTGAAAAAAAGTGGGTCAGGGTAAATAAAGCCACGTTTCCTCTGAGTCAAGCTGGAGTCCCGTTAAATTCATGGACGTACCTAGGCCATTCTCTTGATAACATTATGGAAATTTTGTTGTTGTTAGTTGCGAAGTCGTGTCTGACCCATCACAACCCCATGGACAATGTTCCTCCAGGCCTTCCTGTCCTCTACCATCTTCTGGAGTCCATTGAAGCTCATGCCTACTGCTTCAGTGACTCCATCCAGCCACCTCATTCTCTGTCGTCCACTTCTTCTATTGCCCTCAGTCTTTCCCAGCATTAGGCCCTTCTCCAGTGAGTCCTTCCTTCTCATTAGGTGGCCAAAGTATTTGAATTTCAACTTCAGGATCTGGCCTTCTAAAGAGCAGTCAGGGTTGATCTCCTCTAGGACTGACCAGCTTGATCGCCTTGTAGTCCAGGGGACTCGCAGGAGTCTTCTCCAGCATCATAGTTTCCCCTTACTTTCTGCCAGTCTGTTTTCCCTCAGTCTAACTCATGGCTTTGTGATTCCCTGGAAGTTTCCCAACAATATTAACCCTGCTTTGTTTTTCCCTGGAAAATACAACTCCGTAATTCTAGATATGGAAGGTGTTTTAGAACATTGCGAGTAGTGTGCCTACTTTAAAGAGATCCAACTGAATTTTATGTGAGAATAGCAGTAAAAGAAATTTCCTCCAAAATGCAACGTTCTCCTTACATCTGGCCTACGAGTAAAGTAAAACAAGTACTATTACTGCTCAATGAAGACTTAATAAACCTTTTCCTCTGAAAATTGTTGCCAACTGACAGACTTACAATACTGCAGAGACTTGTGCATTAATCATGCGACAGGATAAATTCCCTGCACATGGGGTTTTTTTTCCATACAAAAAATGTGGAGGCTGCCTCAATGCTGTTAAAAGCACAGCTGGTTCAAGTTAATCTGTCTCCCACATTAATTGCACAGTCAATTTCGCCAATCGGTTCTTCGTCACTGGCTGTCTCTTGAAGGAGAATGGAGAAATGCACTAATGAGAACAAAGATTTCCGTATATTAATGGAGATGAAAGGACAAAATTTAGTATGAGGCTACCATCTGCATATTCTCGGTAATATGCACTGAAATCTTGATACGGGTAGTAACCAGAAATGTCTCATGTGCCGAAAAGTTTAATTTTTATTCTGAAGTTCAGGTTCAATGAGAAAAAACATTCTATGTATGTATCAGAAAACTATTCCATGACAGCTGTATACTTTAAACTGTTTTACATACCAGCTTTTTCCATATGATGTAAACAATCAAGTTATATTGTGTTCTGTAAATGTTGTTTATTTTGTACATTGGCTATAAACAACTCCATTGGATTCTGTCTTATTCAAGCCTGGCAACATTTACAAGTTGTTACAAACGAATATCTACCATCCTATGGAAAAACTTAATAGTGACTTACCAAATCCGTGTTGTTGGTCATGGACTCTTTCCTAAGTTAAAACATATGCGATAACGCACACATAAAAACCGCTTGTAAACTTGACTATACAACTTTCCATCACTCCTTCAAAGATTTATGTTATCCGAGTAGAATTTAATAAAAAATATACATTGAGTAGAAACATAAGTCTTAATAAATTGCAAACCAAAGAACGCCAACAGAAAAACTCTTCCAATTAATAGTATTTATACAAGAAACCTGATGGATCTCCAAGTGAAAAAAAGTTTACAATTCCATGAAAAACTAATGATCTCTACTGAGTATGTGGATAAACAATGTGCACTTTCCAAGGGATCTGCTAACTTTAATATTATTCCACAGTTCTATTTTTTAAACTAAATGAAACTGGATTAATGACACTGCTTCACATGAGTTATCACAGGTATTACCAAAACACAAACAAGGACTTAATGCAGCTCACCTTTTAATTAGCTAACACTCATATTAAATAAATAAAACGTTTATTTTAGACATGCTTTAGTGACAGTGCTAGAGAAGACCGATGCAGAAGCAGATACAATTCGGAATAAGGCATTTTGTTTGCATTGTAACATATTGGTAGACGATGTTATTCTTCTATCTAGAACAGTGATGGCGAACCTTTTAGAGACCGAGTGCCCAAACTGCAACCCAAAACCCACTTATGCATCGTCGGGTGCCAGGTGGGTGTGGCCCATTGGCTGGATGTGGCCAATTGGGTGGGCGTGGCTGCAGTGGTAATGGCAGACTGGGTGGGACTAAAAAGTTCGATCAATCAATTCCAACTTTGCAAGATCTTTTTTTTTTTCAGCGAGAAGTTGAAATTGACTGATTGATTGAACCTTTTTTTTTTCTTTTTGCACACGGTGGCGGAGGCCTAAAGCAAAAAGGTTTTATAAAACCCAGCTGAAGGCCTAGGACTGGAGCGACGGTGCGCGTGCCCACAGAGAGGGCTCTGCGTGCCGCCTCTGGCACCCGTGCAATAGGTTCGCCACCACTGATCTAGAGCTTAGGTAAATCAACAAGCAACAAAACTGATCACGTTCTTTCATTACCTTATTTTATTGCTCCCACTTTAAAAGAAGAAAAGGAGTTCAAGACTCGAGACAGCTGATTTGTTAAGCTTAGGCTTTTTCACCACCCCCATGAAACAGCTCTCAATCCATATGGTAAGACTTCTCCATCACATTATTTTCTGAACTTGAAAAATCTATTTTTTTTCCACTTGAGGGAAAAATACCCTCAGTCTACTTGAGGAACGTTTTAAATATCAAGATATCTCCAAATGTAAAATATTGGTTCAGAGAGCTATGCTGTATCCCACTTACCACCCCAACAGACTGCTTTTGTTATACAGCGTTTGTGTTTCTTGCATGTATATTGAGGAGAGACCTCCCCTAGGCCTGAAGATAAAAGTTTTCGATCAGTGTGTGTGCTACCTGCTGTAACATAGGCCGGCGAAACACGGGCACTAACCTCACAATCGACACAAAAGCTACGAGCGGCGCAAAGAGCCATGGAAAGATACCTGCTCGGCATCACAAGACAAGTTAGAAAGACCAGCACAGGGATTAGAGAACAAACGAAAGCATACAATGCCATCAAGAGAGTAAAAGAATGGAAATGGAAATGGAAATGGACACATAGCAAGAAGAACTGAGAACAGGTGGATCAAGGCAGTCATCGAATGGATCCCATTTGATAAAAAGCATCCACGAAAGAGACCTAAAACAAGATGGATCAATGACATCAGCAAATATGGCGGGTCCAACTGGCAAAAGAAAGCTCAGGACCGTATTAGTTAGAAATATGCAGAAGAGGCCCTCATCTTGCAGTATCGACAATGGCTAAAATGATGATGATAATGATGAAATTAAAAGACAACTAACCTTCCATTTTCCTTCAGGGTAGAGGTATTGGTGATACAGGTTCGTGCTTTGTCTTCTATTGCAGGGGTCCCCAACCCTTGGTCCGTGGACTGGTATCGGGCCGCGGCATGCCAGCAACCGGTCCGCACAAACAAGCAAAGGCCCATCTGTGGGATGCAGGCAGCACACAAAACTACGCACTCTCCGGTCCACGGAAAAACCTTTCTCCACAGAACTGGTCCCTGGTGCCCAAAAGGTTGGGGACCTCTGTTCTATTGCTTCTTAAACTTTACTGCAGCCAATCTGATTTAGCAGCTATTCATAATTCCAAAATCAGTTCCGAGTGAGGGCAATGTTATTTACCCTCATTCTATTTGAGGCCTTTCTTTAAAACTGCCACAAAGGGAAGCATTATTCTCTGTTCTTGATTCAGCAAAACAACAACAACCGACAACCCCTCATTTAATGCACAGGATTACAGCATACTTTCTGTTCGTCATTTTAATAATGTACCCATATTTGAAGTTCAAATACATTACCACATTTTTTTTGTTAGGTTGCTGTCCCCCACACACAGAAATTATGCCAAAGAAATTACCTTTGAATAGATATGGCTAGGATTACATTATTTTACAATACAATCATTCATACCGTGTATTCCGGCGTATAAGGCGACCCAGCGTATAAGATGACCCCCGTCTTCGGTGCCAAGTCGCATGCCTAGAAAGTCGTCTTATATGCCAGAAACTACCATTATTTCCGGCGTATAAGATGACCCCCAACTTTGGCGCCGATTTTAATGCTTGCGAAAGTCGTCTTATACGCCGGAAAGTATGGTACATTTATTGGAAGATAGAGGTTATTAAATGTATTTCATTCCCATGAAAACAGGACATATTACACCCTTCAATTGCTGCTGCTATATTTATTTCTCTACATTAATAACCATAGTAACCAACAAAATTTTAACGCATATTCTACACTCTTTTTACACACTAAATCTAATTTAGGTGACGAATTCTATGTGGAAATCCTGTATGAAAACATTGCCTGCTTGAACTAAAAGTTATCTCTGCTGGCATATGCAGTGCTCACTTACCTATTATTTTCTGCAGCAAAGGCTGTAGCTCTGGTTCATCGCAAATAGCTTGGACAAAGGCTTCCTTCACTTGACTTTCAGCCTCATTTAATTCTTTCCCAGTTTTGGCTTCTCCCACTATGGAGTAAATATATACCAATAACAGAAGTAGCTCTTGGGGAGTGTAATCATCCTCTGTCCTGTTACTATAAGACTTGATAATAGGTAGCAGTTGCTCCAGTGCGTTAAATAATGTTGACTCACCAATATTCTGAAAAAAAAAAATTTCCTTAATTTCACACTTTAAAATCAGAAAGTCAAGGACGAATCATGAGTCAAAGGCCTATACGTTTTAAAATTATTTTAGGAGGTACAAATTCAAATGCTGCTATTACAAATCTTGATTCTCTTTATAATAAACCTTTCCAATCGGTGTTCCCCTAGGGCAGGGGTAGGCAACCTTGGCTCTTTTATGACTCATGGACTTCAACTCCCAGAATTCCTGAGCCAGCTTGGCTCAGCTTGGAAACCTCTCCCTTTTCCCTCAGCATGGCTAGCTCAGGAATTCTGGGAGTTGAAGTCCACGAGTCATAAAAGGGCTAAGTTTGAAGACCCCTGTGTTAGAATGAAAGAACTTAAGGCAGATGTAACATGCTTATAACACATAGGGACACTAGGAACAGGACGGGGAGAAAGAGAGAGAGTGCAAGCTTGTGGGGGACGGTTTGCATCTATCAAAGAAAGTTACTTGGCATTAAATTCACAGATTTTCTGGAGTAACATTTAAACTAAACAATGGGGACAGGGAGTTAATTGATATAGAAAATTTCTGTCCCGAGCAATCTAAAATTAATAGGGTTATCAGTGCATGTAACATAGATGTTTGTGTGGGTAAGAATATTAACTTTGCTATCCAGCAAGATAAATCAAGTTTTTAATGATGAGTGCCATACCAAGTGGATTAATCAAACAGGTGGTAAGGAAGTAGGGATACTCAGGCACCACACAAATTATGTAGAGAATGAACACAGGGTTAGTCAAAAAGGACTCAAATGTCTATACACCAATGCAGAGTATGACCAATAAACAGGGTGAATTAGAAATTCCAGTAAATAAGAGTAGATTTGATATTGTTGCCAGTACGGAAACTTGGTGTGATAAAACCCACAAACATACAGCTAGAGCAGGAGTGTCAAACTGCCGCCTCACGGGCTGGACGCATCACGCAGAAGCCGCACCCACCCCAACGTCCCGATACGTTGCGCGACGTCATGTGACGTTGCGAGTTTGACATGTCTGAGCTGGAGGGATTTAAATTACTTAAAAGAAACAGACCAAATAAAAGAGGAAGTGGAGTTGCATTATATATATAAGAAATAACTACATCTCTACAGAAATAGAGCACAACAATGATGAAAACTGTCTTGAATGCATTTGGGTCAATATAAAGGGGGGGGGGAGAAATGACATTGCCATAGGTGTACACTATAGGCCACCCAACCAAACAGAGGAAATAGATGAACTTTTTGCTAGCCAGTTAACTAAGGTACGTAGGAAGCACATCACAATAGTAATGGGGGACTTTAACTACACTGACATCAACTGGGAGATAAATTCTGCACCAAGTGGAAGACCTGAAAAAGAGCAGACATATTTATTTATTCATTTATTTATTTATTTTTAAAATTTATAAGCCGCCCCACTCCCGCAGGACTCTGGGCAGCTAACAATAAAAGCACCATATAACATGACAAAACAGACAATACAATAACAGTCATCCAGGGGTCAGATTTTATAACCTTGTATGTTAATCACCCTCATTTCGGTTACTGATAAACAACAGGAAAGAGAGAGAAACAGAATGAATTTATTTTTCTTGCTCCCACTGGTTAACACAGTGGCAGCACACATAGGCCTAGACCGAGTGATATCTGGAGGGTGCCAGGCTGAGAGAGAAAGCGAGTTGTTTCATTAAATGTGGTAGTTTACAGGCTATTTTCAACTTCTAGTTTCTTTAAAACTAGCATTTATATTTATACCTAAAAGAAAAAAATAAGAATCTGCTTTATTGCCTGATCAAAGAGGCTACCGGGATAAAGGGCTTGTATTATAAGCACGGTCTTAGTCCTTGCACTTTGATCATCTTCTGTGGGTAAAAGTTTAAAAAAGAAGAACGACAATTTCAGCTGTAGACTATAATTTGATTTAAGGTTCTCATTTTTAAAGAATTAGCATCTTTTTCTTAGAACAAAATAAAGGCCCCTGAAGCTCAGATTTTAATTCCCTTCAATCAGAATACAGCTGGAAGGGACCCTGGAGGTCTTCTAGTCCAACCCCCTGCTCAAGCAGAGACCCTAGAGCGGGGGTAGGCAACCTTGGCTCTTTTATGACTCCTGGACTTCAACTCCCAGAATTCCTGAGCCAGCATGGCTCAGCTTGGAAAACTCTTCCTTTCCCCTCAGCATGGCTGGCTCAGGAATTCTGGGAGTTGAAGTCCATGAGTCATAAAGGAGCCATAGTTCCCCCATGCTGGCTCAGGAATTCTGGGAGTTGAAGTCCACGAGTCATAAAAGAGCCAAGGTTGCCTACCCCTGCCCTAGACCATTTCAGACAGGTGGCCGTCCAGTCTCTTCTTAAAAACCTCCAGTGATGGAGCGCCCACGATTTCTGGGGGCAAGCTGTTCCACTAATTAATTGTTCTCACTGTTTGGAAGTTTCTCCTTAATTCCAGGTTGCTTCTCTCCTTGATTAGATGCTTAATTTTAATTTTTAAATGCCTAAAATATCTTTTTCAGATATTCATCACTCTTACGGGGGTTCTCAACCTTGGCAACTTTAAGACTTGTGGACTTCAACTCCCAGAATTCCTCAGGCAGCAAAGCTGGCTGAAGAATTCTGGGAGTTGAAGTCCACAAGTCTTAAAGTTGCCAAGGTTGAGAACCCCTGCTTTAAATAAACAAATTAAACTAATATATTAAACAAACATTCTTCTGAATTAATGCTGACCATCCTCATTACCAAGGCAGTTGTCCCTGGAGAAACTCAAACTCCTTTCAATTAAAAAGGATTAAAATGCTTTGAATTGCATTTTAAAACAAAGCAGTAAATAAGGAACATAAACAAAAGAGGACAATTCATTGATTTTTTTTTTTTTTGCAAAAGTTAACTAGAGAAGCAGACAAAGTGAATGGGAAACCATGATAGTTATGAAGGCCCCGTGTTTTGATCATTGACCTCGAATCAAACAGGGATAATGAGAATTCTTTACAATATTAAAGTCTCAAACTCTTCTTTTGGTCCTGGTTGCTGTTATTGCTGGCTGTCCTTCTCTTCTCCCTTTTGTAATTTTGAGGGAGAAATATTTCATGTGAATAAGCCTGCTGGGCTATAGAAAAAAATAAATAAATAAAACAGTCAAACAACAACACAGAGAATGAGGGAATTTGCCTCAAACAAAACCCATCTAGCAGTTTGTCATTAATTAGCCATCTCTAATGATTTAAGAGCTCTCAGTGCAATTACAAATCAATTAATTACACCGACCAAATAACCCCTAAAGCATCAGATTTAAAAAATGACCCAAATTTCCTGCTTGTCAGGTTGGCCGCTGGTTAGACTTCTTTACCTATCATGAAGAGGTCCAGTAAAAAAGTAATAAAAAACCCCCTCAGTTCTGAGCTTTTGAAAATGCTCACAAAAACAGCTGAATTGCCTAAGATGGCTCCAAAGAAGACTGCCACTTGGTCTAGTAAATTTCCCTCCTTTTTATTATCTTAGTATTGTCTTCAAACGGTAAGATCACTAATGCAAGAGAGAGAAAATTCCTCTTAATTTTTTTTCTTCTTATCCTAGATACCATCTTCCCCTTTTCTTTCTCTCTCTAGGGGTTTTGTTGGAGGTAAAAGAAAGAATAATCTGTCAAAAAGCAGTGGTATCAATTTGCAGGCTTCTGCCAGACTGTTTTGGCCGGTTGATAAGATATAAAGGAAAGGATATGAATACATGTTATCGTAAGTAAAGGTGGCATTATTTTGCATATGTCATGCTGCATATGCCATGCTGATTAAGACACCAATTTCCCTTCAGTTCTGCAGGATGTAATTTCAAATGAAGCACTGAAAAGAATGTATGCACAAGAAGCATATATTTTTGCTTATCTGAAGTTCAGCAGTACGCGGCTTTTTCACTTGGGAGATGAAAATTTTTCACATGAAAATTTTCACATTAGACATCAGAGGTTCTCTTTGGAAGTATAGTTCCATTTCTTGGCGTTACCTATACACAAATTTTCCAATTCTGAACCAATATTAGAAATATAAACAGTTATGCTTTGAAATAAAACATAACCATTCAATGGACTCCTCTAAAAAAGGATAAAGTTATTCTTGGGACCATCTTGTTCCTGAAAACAAATTAACTAATTTGTTGTTGAGATGAATATCTAGGATGGTTTGATGTGATGGGATTTATTGTGCACTAAACAACACTTTTCAATTAGGGTGGGTTACAATTATTGCCACCTCAATCAGTTATTGTACTTTGGAATCAAAGTTACACTTCAAAGTTTCCGTATTTAATATCCACCCTCTGGTTTTATTAATATAAACATAAGTCCCTACTCCATTGCTTCTCCCATTGGTAATGAATTTATTCCAGCCCAGCTTTGTAATTAAATATTATTAGCTTGGCAATCCTAACAAAAAATATATGAACTTATTTGAAAAATGCCAGCTTGCCTAAGGACAAATTTATTTATTTATTTATTTACCTACTTATTTATTTATTTATTTATTTACATGAATGTTCCAACTGCTATTTTAAACTAGAATAGTTTAGTTCATGAATAGTTACTTTTCATGCAAATATGTCTATCTACTATCCTTAATATGATTAATATATCCTTGCACTTTATTAAAAACAAAAAATATATGCCAAAACAAACTTCAGAAATTATTTACTTTAAGTCAGGAAGCTATGGGAGTGAGTCTATTGTAATATTCCACAATTAAAATGAAATAGAACAGAATTTTGGCTGAAAAAAATCAATCACTTGAACAATCAAGTATAAAAATTCTACATGATACTACATATAAAAAAAAATAAACTGTTCTTTAAACTATCCCTTATCTAACTTTACCTTAGAAGCATACCAGAATGTGAATAAATCTGAGCCATATGAAAAGGACAATTACCTTCTACATCCTTAAAAAAATTAATACGCTTAAGGGAAAGGGCCATTATGAAATTCAGATAACTTCAGAATATGGAGGC